TCAGATCAGGTGAACAAGGAGGCCATGTCATTAGATTTTCTTCTTTTATACCCTTTCTTGCCAGCCACGCTGTGGAGTACTTGGACGCGTGTGATGGAGCATTGTCCTGCATGAAAATCATGTTTTTCTTGAAGGATGCAGACTTCTTCCTGTACCACTGCTTGAAGAAGGTGTCTTCCAGGAACTGGCAGTAGGACTGGGAGTTGAGCTTGACTCCATCCTCAACCCGAAAAGGCCCCACAAGCTCATCTTTGATGATACCAGCCCAAACCAGTACTCCACCTCCACCTTGCTGGCGTCTGAGTCGGACTGGAGCTCTCTGCCCTTTACCAATCCAGCCACGGGCCCATCCATCTGGCCCATCAAGACTCACTCTCATTTCATCAGTCCATAAAACCTTAGAAAAATCAGTCTTGAGAATATTTCTTGGCCCAGTCTTGACGTTTCAGCTTGTGTGTCTTGTTCAGTGGTGGTCGTCTTTCAGCCTTTCTTACCTTGGCCATGTCTCTGAGTATTGCACACCTTGTGCTTTTGGGCACTCCAGTGATGTTGCAGCTCTGAAATATGGCCAAACTGGTGGCAAGTGGCATCGTGGCAGCTGCACGCTTGACTTTTCTCAGTTCATGGGCAGTTATTTTGCGCCTTGGTTTTTCCACACGCTTCTTGCGACCCTGTTGACTATTTTGAATGAAACGCTTGATTGTTCGATGATCACGCTTCAGAAGCTTTGCAATTTTAAGAGTGCTGCATCCCTCTGCAAGATATCTCACTATTTTTGACTTTTCTGAGCCTGTCAAGTCCTTCTTTTGACCCATTTTGCCAAAGGAAAGGAAGTTGCCTAATAATTATGCACACCTGATATAGGGTGTTGATGTCATTAGACCACACCCCTTCTCATTACAGAGATGCACATCACCTAATATGCTTAATTGGTAGTAGGCTTTCGAGCCTATACAGCTTGGAGTAAGACAACATGCATAAAGAGGATGATGTGGTCAAAATACTAATTTGCCTAATAATTCTGCACTCCCTGTACTGTAATCTGCTTCTCAGTGGTCTTACGTGCTCCCAACTTGCACTGTTACAGTCCATAATGAATGCGGCGGCGAGGCTCATCTTCCTGTCCACCCACACTGCCCACGCCTCAACCTTCTGTCAGTCCCTACATTGGCTTCCTGTAAGAGATAGGGCTCAATTTAAAATTCTGATTCTTGCTTTCAAATCTCTACATAATGCTGCTCCCACCTATCTATCCTCCCTAATACACAAGTATGTCCCACCTAGGCCCTTACGCTTCGCTGATGACTTACATCTATCTTCTGTCAGTACACCCACCTCTGATGCGCACCTTCAAGACTTCTCGAGGACTGCACTGTTCCTTGTGGAACTCACTTCTCTCCCCTGTTAGATGCTCACCCAGTCTCCACTCCTTCAAAAAATCATTAAAAACTCACTTCTTCATAAAAGAGTATCAATTAAACTGTTAATAGCTCCCAACTGATTCCTCTCTTGCAACTGTCATTATTCTAATACTATCCTTACCTTTTGTGTCACTTTACCCCACTCACTCTAGCATGTAAGATCATTGTTCCTGTGTGTCCAACTTGTCTGGTTACAACTACATGTTTGTTCGTCCACCCACTGTAAAGCACTGTGGAATATGTTGGCGCTATATAAATAATAACATAATAATAATAATACCAGTACTTCTCCACGACAAGACACAAGGGTAGGGGGAGAATGAGACATGGGAAAGAGAGAGACACAGGGGGAGGGTGGAGAACTAGACATAGGCACTACCATGACCGAGACAGAGGGGGAAGAAAGAGACACAGGGGGAGAGTGGAGAATGAGACACAGGGGGAAGAGAGATATACATGGGGAGGGGGGAGAATTAGACATAGGCACCACCATGACAGAGACAGAGAGGGAAGAGAGAGACACAGAGGGAGGGGGAGAATGAGACACATGGGAAAGAGAGAGACACAGGGGAGGAGGGAGAATGAAACAGAGACACCACTCTGACAGAAGGTGAGGGTGAAGCGAGAGACATGGGAGGAGGAGTAAGAATGAGACACATGGCGAAGAGAGAGACACAGGGGGAGAATAAGACAGAGGTGGAAGAGAGAGAGACACACAGGAAGAGTGGGGGAGAAAGAGACACATGGGGAGGGTGGATAGAGAAACACGGGAGGAAAAGGTAGAATGAGACAGAGGGGGAAGAGAGAGACACAGAGGGAGGGGGGAGACTGGCACAGTGAAACGGGAGAAAGAGACAAAAAGGGAAGAAAGAGACACAGGGTTGGGGGCAAGAGACAGAGGGGAAAAGAGAGACACAGGAGGAGGGGGGAGAAAGTGACAGAAAGGGAAGAGAGGCACGGGGGAGGGGGTGACAGAGACACAGAGGGGAGAGAGAGACACAATGGGAGGGGGAGAAAGACACAGAGGTGGAGAGAGAGACACAGGGAGAAAGAGACACATGGGGAGGGTGGAGAGAGAAACACGGGAGGAAGAGGGAGAATGAGACAGAGGGGGAAGAGAGAGACACGGGGGGGAGCACTTCAAAATAAACACGATAACATACATTCACCATTTCAGTGTCAAGGTAGTTGGACTCAAACATTGATTATATGCAAGTGTATGACTGCTTAAATAAATCTGCATTTCATATTGAAACAACACACATACAGGCTCCAGACACCATAACCACTTAAAATCACTGATTTGGAGAAACCCTTTAATTGGAGGAGTATCAAGAAATCCACAGCTATAAGTCAGCTTCTTAACATCATTGAGGATTCCAGCCCTACACTGATGAGATAATATAAGTCTTAACTAACTAAGACATTCTAGCTAACTTTTCTGTGAAAACCAACAATAAAATGTATCACAAAATCAAATACCATTAAAGTTTAGAAATAGCTAACGTAACACAATAGTAAACAGGTTACTTCTCCCAGGGCTACCCTAACCCTGATATACACAAAGCAATATTTCAATATACAGAGGTACAACAATCATAGAAGGAACAGAAACCACACAGTATAATAGTGTAATAATTAAGGTTCCAAAACTGGCAATAAATTACACTCACAGACTAAGGTCTAATAAAGGCATTGGACATAAATCAAGACATCTCTTGGTGTATTGCCATCAGCATTCATGATTACTTTGTAACTATAAAATTAATGGTAAAAATAATATTGAATCACGCTCACTGATATGTAAAACACACCAATTTATTATTTCATAGAAAAGATCAATTCACATTACAAAACACCACCAGACAAAGCATATCGCCAGTCCAGCACACCCTACACTTTTTGTCTCCGTAAGACTTCCTCAGTGTCTCCCAGTGTGAAAACTCACAAATAATTCCTCTTCTGCAACTGTCACTAGCCTAATACTATCCTTACCTTTTTGTGTCATTTTACCCCACTCCCTCTAGCATGTAAGCTCATTGAGCAGGGCCCTCAACCCCTCTGTTCCTGTGTGTCCAACTTGTCTGGTTACAACTACATGTCTGTTCATCCACCCATTGTAAAGGGCTGCGGAATTTGAAGGAGCTATATAAATATCATAATAATAATAATAATAATAATTACTGCTAAAACCAAATAAAATGAATATCAAATAAAAGCATAGTGTTTCACGGCAGCTACTATCTGTTAAATCCTCTTCTTCTGCAATGATTGTTGCTGTTCAAGTGTCTTCTTCCACTTACGGCTGCAGGGAGTATACTCCCATTCTTTGTGTGACTGTTGATCATATTATCTTACTGTCCACGCCTTTTCACTCTTCACCAATGGTTGCTTGGTGAGAGCGTCTGCATTTGAATGTGGACGCCCTAAGAAAAAAATGGAGCCCCATTTGTTATAATCACACACTACCTGCACATTGAGTAAATGAGTGAGATTTCTATTCCTCTATCTTAGTTTATTGAGACTTAGAGGCCTTATTGGAGTATGTTTGTATTCTAAGGCTATCATTTGATTGACGAGCTGTATATGTGTGCTTTGTGACTGCATGCATGTATAATGCCCTTGGTGTTTGCTAACACCGGTCTTGTTATTTTCATACACATACAGAATTTTTTTGCCCGTACATTATATGAGATTTTGTCTTTGTTAACTTCAAATTTTCTCTTTCTACCAAGGTGAAGCAAGTTTTAATTTCAGTGAGATAGCAGGCAGCCATTAACAATTAATCCTCAATGGAAGACAGTAAAACTTTTGACATCCTAGAATTACAAGTTCACGTTGGTAAGATCTACTAGTATGGAAAGAGCAACTTCTGACTAACATTAGTAACAGCCATTTTAGTGATTAGCGGCTTGTCCTTAAGTCTAAACTTGCCCTATTTAAATAATTATTTGTTCATGTGACCTGATCCTATTGTTTAATGTAAAAAAAAAAAAAACTGGACCTTTTAATAAATTATTTTTGAAAATTAAAAATAGGGATGCTTAAACAATATCCAACTGGACCTGTGTTTGCCTGTTTTTGTTTTTTTGGTTGCAATATTTCTTTTCACTACTACATTAACCCAACACAGGAAAATTATAACTTTTTCATCTTTTGAGTTTCACTAATACTTTGCTTAAACCAAATGAGTAAAAAGTAGATTCAAATTGGAAACTTCATGCGAGGCTAGTGATCACCCCTAAATTAGACCTTTTAATATCTCATTTGCGTTTGAAGAATTTCCGATACAATGATCTTGAATAGAAATTTGACTTTCTAGGGATGCCTTTGATTTCCTATATTCTTTATACATCTGGATATATGTTGTCATGAATGCTGTGTCATTTAGAGGAAACAACAGGCTACAATGCAGAAAACCCCACAAACCAAACCAGATACAAGAAAAAAAAAAACCATCAGTCTTCACACCTCCCATTTAACACCTCTTTTTTTTTTTTTTTTTGAGCCTGTGAATAATGAGTAATTTTGACGTGTTAGAAATATACATTTGGGTATAAATGTGACCTGCAGCAACATGAAAGGTATTCACTTCTTGAAGAGACAAAAGCTCGATCGAGTTATTAGGACCTATTAGAAAAACACTAATATTATCACTACTGTTACAATCAGAATTACTTGAGAGACAATGAGATCCTCTACAGTATTTATTTTTCACATGCTTTTCGCCCTCTACTTAAATGGACAAATCTCTGGATATTCAGTTGATATTCCGGAAGCACGTCAAAACGTTCAAGAACTGAGAGATTACTATGTAAGTAATAATTTTACATATATCTTTGTACTTATATTGTGTATATTTACTCAAAGGATATTATTACTATAATGAATATTGTAAAATAATATTTAACCCCTTAAGGACACATGACGGAAATATTCCGTCAGGATTCCCTTTTATTCCAGAAGTTGTGTCTTTAAGGGGTTAAATCATTTAAGTATAAATAAGGACAAATAAATTCAAAAACTTTTGACATTCTTAATCACAAGCCAGCTTGCAATTTTTACACACATAATATTATACCATGTATTTAACATATACTTTATTGACACGTTATTGAGTAAGATTCATCCAGTGCTTAAGTTAAATGTTCTAAACTTGGGCTAGCAAATCATGGTCCCAGGTTGGTGTTGACCTATATATTGCAGGATGCTTTGTCAAGGAAGAGCGACTGAGAATCGTCAATAGGAGATGTAGTCCAGCAAGTTGTCGAAGTTGGTGGGCAATAGTTGGACACTTCTTCACTATTTACTGAATATATTATTATGCAAAGACAATACAACAGCTTGAATATCTACTACTTAGTAGCAGTCGTAATTGCAGTTAGTTAATATAATTAAATAGTTATAGGAAATGATACACTCGTCTAAATTTGCTATGTAATTAGAATTCTTATTTCAATTATTTAAGTGCAAACTAGTGCTGTATACAGTATCATATGTATTAAAAAAACAACCATTTCCTTTTGTGGAACACTTATATGGAAACTGCTAACTATAGTATGAGGTCTGACACTTAGGTGTGAGTTACATGTCACAGGAGGAAATGCTAATATATTGTTCTGTGTTTGTAACAGCGTAGCATACAGTTAGAAGTGGGCCTTGCTTTATTGTTGCAAAGCTTCAGCCAAGTACATATTTTAATATTGTCTCTGCTTCTAAATAAATCTCCATAGCGAACAGACAATTAGTTTACATTTTAAAGTACAACTTGACTATACTTGACATTTATTTAACTTTTTTGTTTCTTCTATCAGAAGAGCCTACATCTTGATGATAAATCGGATGGTTCAATCTTCACGTCATTATTAGAATCATGGAAAGGGGTAACTATTACATATATATATATATATATACATACTATATTTTCTTTATATTTCCTCAAATCTCTTTAAGTGTTTTGAGTAAGTTATCAAGCCAGCAGCAGTATCAGTTTGGTTAAATCCAAGCTAGTAAAAGTCAAATTAAAAGACCATGATCTCGAGTATTTATGTATTAAATATCATCAGTAGAACCACTGTGTTCATTATTCTTTTTTGTCACTTTGTAATGCATAAAAAAAGTTTAGCGAATATTGGAAGAAAAAAATATGGAGCAACAGATATTTAGTTCACTATTGCCGTTCTTATGGTATCAGCCTAATTATTATTTGGCGCCATTTTGTACGCAAATATCTGGGTGATTGACATAGTATATAGTGCCATTCCCATTCTAAACTACTTGCATGGCGATTAGATTTTTTTCTTTTTTTAAATATTATGCTATATGCTAATACTGCCGTATATAAAACATACTACAAACTATTTTAGATCAAATTATTACAGGAAGATATACAAACATATTAGTATGAAAGGAACCACAAATCCTGCATATGCGCCTATTCCTAGTGTTTACATAATGAATTTACAATTGCTACCGTTATAATGTGGATTGCTACTAATGATTGTGGGGGAATTTAAATTGATGTTGGAGAATTTAACGGGTACAGGAAAAACTATTTAGATTGGGGGTTGGTAAAGTCATGGTTTGGGCAGCAGTTATAATAGAGCATTCGGAAAGGAAAACTAATGATATCTGGTGATGTATTTAACTTCTGACTTCCTAGGATTTTCACTAATTGTTAATGCAATAGTTATTGTTAACAATGCCTTCTAATTGCACTAAGATTCTTGATGTGTTACTATCTTGAATTTAACAAAATTATAACATTTATTTGTCTCTTTCAGGAAGAGGAGAAAAAGCTACTACTGAGCCAGGTTGTGCCAATGTACTTGAAGATGTTCGACTCTATTGAAGTACCCAAACTGCAAAAAAGCATTAAAATCCTAAAACATATGCTCAGCGTATCGAATGAAGAGGTCTTGAAGCAAAGCAGAGAGAAGCTGAAGCTACTAATGGAATTAAGTGACATTAAGGTACAAAACATTCTATGTTATGCATTAGCACAAATGTGTGAGTTTGATTATTTAGGGAGAAAATCAGGCATTTCCTTCTGAATTCATTTTTTTAGTTTAGTAAATAAACCTCTATAGAGTTTGGAACGGATTTCTAATAAGGGTCTTATATTTGGCATTTTATATATGATCAAACCTTGTTCTCTTCCTTAATAGAGCTAAGTAAACAATCAATATAGCTAAGTAAACAATTTTAAAATGGTGGAACTTTTAAATAGCAACCATGTAGAAAATAAGAAGCATCTTAAATGAGAAATTAATTTATGGTACGGCAAACATCCTGAAGAATTCATGTTCCTTTCAGCCATGTATATTTTAACGTACTCTGATCAGCCATGTTCATTTTAATGTACTCTGACATCATCAATTATTAGATATCCACTCTTTGTCTTTTACATCACATGGTGTGTCATTTTGAATTCCTTTATAAGTACGACACATGCATTTAGTACAATATTTTAAAATTATTCATTACTGGTTCGTCTGAATCCAGTAATGTATTACCAATAAACTAGAAAGCTAATGAATTTTCTAAGACTAAATATTCTTCCTCAACTGGAAGGAAATAGTACAAATGCAGTTTGATTTACCTTACACGCAATACAGAAAGCCCCTTACATGTTAATGACCAATACTTGCCACAGTTTCCTGTCAGTTTCATTGGTAACTGTTATAGACAAAAATTTCCACTTCAATATAATTAGGGTATAAAAAAAAAGGTGGGCAATGTTTAGTTTATTATGTACACACATAATGAAAATGGCAAACCATTTTTTTTTTTAAATCACTATAGAATCAAAAGGATCAGTAGGTTAATGTCAAACTTATTCTTTCTTTTAATGCCTTTTTTATTGAGTGTCAGACAAATAGAAATGCAAAACATACATTGGATATCAATGAGCAGCTTTGTGTACAATTGTAATAGGCAATCGTGAATAGCGAAATAGACTAACTGACATTCTCTTTTCTGTGAAATCATAATAAAACAGCTAAACTAAACAAAAGCATGCCGACCGTTTTTTAACAGGGATGCATAACAGTGCGTAATTGTCAATATAAATTGTCTACAGAAACAGGAGCTTTAGAGATTCCTGCACAAATGAGCTTACTAGTGTATTACAGCACTATGTAGTATGTAAAGGGCTTTATAAATAATAATAATTTGTATTAACTCACATCCTGTTAAAAAAAGCCTTGTTCTGTATTATTTTGAAATAGCTTTATATTTCCACAAGGAATGTTCCGTCTTCAGACTGTAATTAAAGGTCCAGTCTAAGTTATGGCGTGAGCAAAAAAGCATCATTAAAGTAAACTCACGGTTCGTTTCGGAACAGAGCGTGTTAGTCTTTTTTGCATCGCCACTAACAAATAAAGAACACTAGTACAAGCCGTTCTGAGTAGTATCAGTTTGTATAGTACTCGATTTTGTAAATTATAATCACTTTCAGCAATGGGAAACTCAAATTGCAACTGACGAGCCCTTAACTTTCTTTTTTAAATTAATAGATTAAAACATTTCCTTAGTATTTTCATTTATTGATAAAAATCCTACAGCATGGATCAGAAACTCATAAGCACAATTGCTTCTTTGTATATAATTAGTTATTTTCAAAACGTCCCTGCACAGACCTTGAAATTTTGCACTATTTGCTTGGTAGAATATCCTACCACTCATAACTATAATGTAGCTTAAATTTAAAAAAATGGTTTCATATTTCCCCCGCAAAACAGAATGGAGAGCAGGAGATATCTGAAGTTATCTCTTGTAATAGAGTAAGATGTCCAGCCGTTTATATACATGTACATTCTACTAATTCAATTGTCTATATTGAAGAAAAATCAAGCTAGTGGGTCTTTTTCTTGGCATGGGATCCCATATTACGTGCATGGCATTAGCTGGGGGTCCTGTTCTTCAATTGTAAAAGTCATATAAAGAAAATCCAAATTATACATCTCTTTATTCACTCCCAGAGGGTCTCCATCACATTGGAAAAAGCACTACCTCTATGGAAAACCATTTATTATGGACCGTTGCCTGGGAATCGATGCATATAATGTAGCTAATCTGAAAATACATGGGGATCCATTCTATGTCTCTACGACTGATGAATGCAATGCAACCAAAACACACTGTTATACGTTTGTTGATCATTTTTCTTTTTGCTTTTTAACAGATAACAGATACCAACATCCAGCAAAGAGCAATCAGAGAACTTTTCCCTGTTCTGCAAGCAATCTCACGTCTGGGAAAAAATAACCATTATGAAGATACCAGAAAACGAAGACAAGAATTAGCAAGGAGGCGGAGAGGAAGTCAAAGCTAAATATTATTTTTTATTAATACCATCACAATTACGTCTAATTAATAATTATTTAAATTAAATATTCTATATTTATATTATTTAATGTTTTTATTCTAAAAGTCTATTTATGTGAAGAGAGATATATTTAAATTATCTGCTGCTAGAAGAAAAAAATAAAATATATATTGTTTACAAAATATTTTACGCCTCATCAATTATTTTGATATAAATTCACTGATAATGTCCTCTAATCTGATGTTAAAAGTTATTGTTCAGAAGGAAATAATTCCTTAAGTGTTAAACAAAACTTCCCAAATCATTTGTTTCACAAAAAAATTATGAAAGTATAAAAATCAAATTTTTAAACCTTGCTCTAAGGCTTGTTTGGGTTTTCATAACCTTCTTATCTTTGATATATCATTAAAACCTAATAAACTATTAAAACAATCATTATGAGCTGATAGTTAAGCTTTTTCAAACCCCATCCAGTAGTAAAAATAGAATCATTGATGTCATGGATATTTATGAAGAATTTATGTGAACAAAGAACTGAGTGGGAATCCCCAAAGATATGCCAATAACAGAAATGGGGAATCCCCAAAATAAAAAGGAATGGGGAATCCAAAAATATCAATACCGTGGAGACTAGGGTTCAGGGTAACGGATAAATGGGTAGTCAAGCATTTATCCCTTCTCCTTTTCACACCTTGCCTGAGAGTAACAATAAATATGATGGGCTTTTTAGGCCCTTGAATCATCATCTTTTGTACCCCTTACGTCCCCAACACAACACATGATACAATTATAAAATGAAAAAAAACTGCAAGAAAAAAAAAAAATCCAAGCCAAAGATTCTAAAAAGGATTACCTGTTGGCAGGTGCATTTATATTAACCTGACTGTTCTGGCTTGCTCTCTGCACAATCTGATTGTCTGCCTTCTGAGGCATCTGACCTAATGTGAAAGCAATTTACCCAGGCTATAGAAAATGAGCCAGGCTAGTTAAAAACAATGATGAAAAATATAAACAGAAGCGTTGTAGCACTTTATCCTCTTAAGGATACAGCTTCAGAAGTTTGTCTTGCACTTAAAAGGAAGCTATAGTGCCAGGAAAACAAACGGATTTCTGGCAGCCCTGCAGCTTCTGTATGCATGGCACGGATCCTCGGGCAAGAGTGCGGCTACTACTTGAGACAGAACCCCCTCGGATCAAGTGCAGAAGTCCAGAGCAAAGAGGGACCATCAACTGCCTCAAATACAGAGCCCTCCCTAGGACTAGGTCCTGGACAGTTACAAGTTACAGGCCAGCCAGCCCTCAGTTAAACTCACCATAAGGAATTACATTTTTTATTTTTTTTATTTTTTTTATTTTTAAGACCTTCAATTTGGATGCTTAAGCCTTACAGTCTACACAAAGACACTTTTGACCAGCTACGTGACGGTCCATAACGAAACACTTATTACTTATAATCTTTATGCCTTTACTTTTTTTTTTTCTCTTCTTATGTATCGCTCCCTATTCAGCCAGTAGGAAAATGTCAGGAGTTGCAAGCCGTACGAGTGGGAATGACTGTCTAGAAGTTGAAAGAGCACTGGGAGGGAGTGTAACTACAGAGAGCTTGAACACAGGTCCTGCTAAGAAACGTTATTAGTTATGTAGTTTTTTTACAGGAGGGTATTGCCTGGCTGGATGTAAGACCTTAATGCAGGCACGAATAAATATTCTGTTCGCAACTAGTGCAAAGCACAAGTATCTCCCACACCTACTTAAAATCCCAAGCTGCCTCTGACAGAAAAAGTGGCCTGTAAGTGTGAGTCTGCGAATGTCTGCACATGAATAGCCGGACGTGCGATGTCTAATGTATATTTAAATAATTATTTTCTTTAATTTTATATATATATATATATATATATATAATTTTATTATTTTTTCCATTGTTTTTCTATATGCCCTCTCTTTAACTATGTTTCCATATATATATACGCTGCTTGGTTAAATGTTACTATATATCACAAAATGATGTGAGAAATCTTGTCTTTTATGTGACACATGTATGCTATTCCACAACATAAATAAAGAATAAAAAAAACTCGGACTGCGGTGATATAATTTATAGGTAAGGAGGGCAACTTTCCAGAAACCCTAGGGAAAGGCCTGTGTAGTATCTATAGTGTCGGTGTTTAATTATTGATATTGTTGTGTGAAATTTATTACATTTTTATTTTATTTTTTTCATGATGTTTTAGTTAAGGGAATTTCTCTTTCATAGCATACATAGATCTTTGGTCATTGCGATTTCTTTTCTAAAGAATAGTAGCAGGTATACTGTGATTAATATTTTTTTTTTGGCTAGATTGAATGTGCAGGGTCCCACGAGTTTGTATTGCATACATGATTACGTTTTGTAGTGTAACCTACATTTGGCAGAGTGCCTGGATCAATCTCTATATTAATATTCATACTCACAATATGTCTAAAAAGGACTTTGCTGTGTGCAAAGAGGGAGCTTGGGTAAAGGTATAGGGTTATGCTGCAGGAAGCTGCATAAATACTTTTTCTTTCTTTAGCAAAACTGATAAGATTTGAATGTGAAGAAAAGCACAGAATGAATAAGAGGTCAAAATCTATTCAATGCTTTTAAAGACAATATAGTCACCTGAACAACTACAGCTTAATGAGGTTGTTTAGGTGAGAACTATAGCTCCCTGCAGCCTTTCTCATATAAACACTGTATTTTCTGAGAAAATACAGTGTTTTCATTGAAAGCTAGGAACACCTCCAGTTGCAGTCAGAGTGAACCAGAGGGACTTTGGAGTTGATGGAGACATAATATGCCTCCATCCACTCAGATCTGCTGTCAGCAGAGCACAGCATCCTGTGATTCAGTATCTCCTCCCTCTGCATGCAGACACTGAACTTTCCTCATAGAGATTCATTGATTCAATTCATCTCTATGAGGAGATGCTGATTGGCTAGGGCTGTGTTTGAATAATGCTGGCCCTGCCCTTGATCTGCCTCTTTGTCAGTCTCAGCCAATCCTATGGGGAAGCACTTTTTTTAACAGGTGGCAGGATCAGCACTGTTCTGCTCCCTGCACTTCACACAGAACAAGGAAGTGCAGGGAGGCGGAAGGTGAGTATATGCAGCACATGTGCTCACTCTGATATGCTGTCAGAGCGAGAACATGTGCTGGGGCAGCCTGATCGGGTGCTCCCGGTCTGCCTCTAATACAGAGGCAGACCGGAGCACCATTAACCCCACGATCGCCACAATTGCGGTGATCCAGGGTTAATTTTAACGGATGACGGACAAGGTCCGTCACTCATCGTTATGGCAATCCCCTGAGTGACGGACCTCATCCGTCACTCGTCGTTAAGGGGTTAAAAAAAACAAACTAACAAACACAACTTCTATGAAAGAGGAGGAAGAAGAATAAACAGAAAACATCTCTCAGCTAATGATTTTTTCTCTCCACAAGCAAATGAAGCCTCAAAATTATAGATCTCAAATAAATAGATGATTCCATGAATATTGAATCGAATCAAGAAGTGCATACTACAGTTTATGATTTTGTGGAAAGAAGTTTTGAAAAAGCTCTACAAGAATTAAAATCAGAAATCAACAATAGCACATTGGAAATCAAGAAAGAAATTGGGATTTTATCAGAAAAAATGAAAAATCCTGAAGAAAATTTACAAAAAATTGACACACAACAACTGAGTTTACAAAACAAGTATGATTTCCTTCTCTTAAGAGTAAACAAACAAGACCTAAAATTATAAGCGCTAGAAGACCGTGCAAGAAGAAATAATTAAAATTTTCAGGAACATCCCAGAGGAAATTAGTCAGGAGCATCTAAGAGATTATTTAATCCAATACTTCAAGGAAGTTGGTGTAGAAGATTTTTAGTCCAATCCGATATATGAAAGAATACATTGCCTTCCTAAACCAAACGTGATAAAAAATAATTCACCTAGAGATGTCATCGCTAACTTTCAATCTTATCTATTTAAAGAAAATATCCTAAAGAAGACAAGAAACAATAAAGCGAAGATCGATAAATTTAAAGACGTGCTGTTTCTTTCGGATCTCTCATATCAGACAAGAAAACACAGGAAAACTGTCATGGCCGCTCTGCAGCTGAATAGACAAAAAAAATATTCGCTATAGTTGGGGATTCTCAACATCCATCAATTTAGTTTGGGAAGGCAAAAAATTTATAATCCATTCGCCAGACGCTTTAAAATCCTGGTCAGAAGAGACTATATCAAATTAAAGAATATGATAGACTGGGGGGAAGAAAAGGGATAAGTGATTTTTTGTTGTTGTTGTTCAATGATGGGACCAACTACTATGACATAGATAGTTTACTATTAACACATATTAGGAGGTAAACACATTATAACAACAACAATAAGAAAATGCAATTTAGTTTATTTATAATACACATAGACACGAGATATGGTTGTAAGATTGAATCAGAAGAATTGACATTTGTTAAATGTCGCATCATACAAATATTAAATGATGAAAATTTATGACGGGATTGTAATGAAGATGGTATCAAATTTGCAGTGATAAGTCAGTCAAAAGATTGTGCTGGTAACATATGAGGTTTCCACTTATATTTCCACTTTGTTAGGACAGCACATATTGTAATGGATTTAACACGAGAGCAATAGGAAGAAAAATAGAGGAAAAATCACAAGTTGTTTATAATAGATTGTGATAGTTTATCAATAGAAATATGATCAAACGCACTAAGTTAAAGGACCACTCTAGGCACCCAGACCACTTCAGCTTAATGAAGTGGTCTGGGTGCCAGGTCCTTCTAGGGTTAACCCATTTTTTCATAAACATAGCAGTTTCAGAGAAACTGCTATGTTTATGAATGGGTTAAGCCTTCCCCCTAATCCTCTAGTGGCTGTCTCATTGACAGCCACTAGAGGCGCTTGCGTGCTACTCACTGTGATTTTCACAGTGAGAGCACGCCAGCGTCCATAGGAAAGCATTATGAATGC